TGGGGTTAGGAAGACCATCACATATGGCAAGCAGAGGATGCCTTGAGAGAATGTGTAAGGAGGGGGAAGCCCTGAGTGGATGTGTACTACTGACAAGAACCACTGCCCAGACCTCACGGGGACTGACAGAGCCTTCCTCAGGTCAGGATCGGAGAACTGGAAAGGCCTTCCCCTGGTCTGTGTGGAAACACTGACAAAGCAAAGAGAAGGCATCCATCCCACCCCCTCCTGGATGTTTACAGCCTGAGACTGCTTCCCTACAGAGGCCCCTCTCACCCACTAGCTAACCTCTCCCTCCCTTGTGCACTGAGGTTCTGGCTTGTTGTGTAATTGATAGAGTAAACGTGGCCCACTTGATTTCAGCTGTTCCATATGTGCATCTGTGTGTTTGTCCTTACTTTCTTGTCACCCAGGTTAGGCTTCCAGAACCAAGCTGTGCTGGACATGGCAATCACAAAGGTAAATTGTCACATCATAGCAAGGACACATAGCACCAATATGACATCACTGCTAATATTGACCCTGGTCATCTGGTCAAGGTGGTGCTTGGGAGGCCTCTTTACTGTAAAGTCCCTTCTCTGGATTTGCCATCTTCTTTGGAAGAAACTTCTGTACACCCCACACTCAAAGACTGGCAGTTATGCTCCTGTTGAATGGGAGGAAGACTGTCCACATAAATGACTTAACACTGCTCTTGGGAGTTTTCTTATCATGGACTTATCAAATTATTTATTTCTATGCAATCGTGGATATTGATTTTATTTTTTGGATTGTAAATCAATACTATTTTATGTTTTCTTCAAAATTTTTCTACTTGTGTCACCTGGGAGTCTTCCAGCAGGCTCCTATGTCTCTGGCTTTCCTCCATCACTATATGATTTTCTGGGTTTGAAGACATGTCCTTATTTTCTGGCTCCAGGCTCATCTTACAAGTTTCCTGCCACAGTACTGGGGTTAGTTGCTTCTCAAGGGAACTCTGGTTTTGGCTTTTTGTTTTTCCTGTTGGGAGATATTAGAAACCAAGGTCTGAGTGGTTGGTGTCCTTATCGTCACTAGGGTTGTTGGAGTTAATTTTAAAAAGTTGACACAGTCTGAAGTAGCCCAGGCTGGTCTTGAACCCACTACGTAGCTGAAGATGACCGATTCTCCTGCCTCTACTTCTCAAGTGCTGGGATTACAAGTATATACCACCATATCCACCTTGGCTGGGATTATTTTTAAGAATTATTGTTCAGATTATAAAAAAAAGTGTATGCTCATGCCAGAAATATTAAGAAATGTATATAGAAAAAATACATTTAACTAGTTCTACAACCCACTATCCTAAAAGTAAACTTTTTGCTTTTTCTCTTCCTTGAATTTATCCAACCAGAGCTCAAGGAATGCATGGGGAGGATAAAAACATCTGCTTTGTTCCATAAAACTTTATGAGGCAGTGATGGCATAAAGTACATAGTCAGCCACTGTCCCAAGAGCACTCAACATCTGGAAACTTCATGGAGCCACAAAAGATAGAAAGTAGATGGACCCTTGGGGGTTATCTGGCCCAGGTCCTCACTGTAAACATATTGGCTGCTGGGAGTCAGGAGGTCCTGCCTTATACAGGGACTGTGGCTCACCCAAAGTCACACCATGAGGTAGTCACAGAATCTAGCCTGTACCCTGCCTGATTTATGTTTTGTTTTCTCAGTGTTACTATGACCTGGGTTATGCCTGCTAACATTTAAGAGAAATGACTTTGGGATCAGTCAGCCCAAGACTCTGTTTTGGTCCTACCACTACACTGCCGTGAGACTCTGGGCAAGGTTCTTCTAGGCCTTCAACTCTTCTCCGGACAGTGATATTCACAGCTGTATTGTGTTTTCTATGTTCCAGGCACTGTGAGAAACACTTCGTATGCATTCAGCTCATTGACTTTCCACAACTTCATTTTTTTTTTTTTTTTGAGACAGGGTTTCTCTCTGTAGCTTTGGAGCTGGTCCTGGCACTAACTCTCTAGCCCAGCCTGGCCTTGAACTCAAAGGCACAAAGATCCACCTGCCTCTCCCTCCCTGCTGGGATTAAAGGCTTGTGTCACCACCCACTCGCAACTTCATTTTTTTTAATGAAGTAGGTATTATACTTATGCAGATTTTGTAGTTGAGAACCCAATATACAGAAAGAAGAAAGAACTGGTCAAAATCCTCGTAGCTGGTAAGTAGAAAAGCCCAGATTTTCCAGTTACAGAGCCTGCATTCCTAAACAACACATGAAATTTTTGTTTGGTCTTTTTGAGACAGGGATTCTTGTGTAACCTTGGCTGTCCTGGAGCTCACTCTGTAGACCAGGCTGGCCTCAAACTCACAGAGCTCCACCTGCCTCTGCCTCCCTAATGCTAGGATGTGTGCCACCACGATCTGATCGGCAAAATTTGTTATCTTAACAATGCAGACTGAAATTGTTCCAACTGTAAATGAACATAATGACATTAGCTGGAACAGACACTTAGACTGTTCCCACTATACAGCGCCTTTCAAACAGGGCCACCTGGTGTCATTATTGCTTTCTGTGCTGCTCTGGGGTTCCCGTGACCTCTCAGCATGGTTTCTCAGCTCCTGAAGGACTCAACGTTTAATTCAACCACTTCTCCGAGGAAGCAAAGATATGAAACACACGCCTGTCTGCAGGCTGTTGTGAAGAAACAAAAACACAGAATAACTCATTTGAAAGTTGAACGGTGGTGGTGTGTGCCTTTAGTCCCAGCACTCGGGAGGCAGAGGCAGGGGAATCTCTGTGAGTTCGAGGCGAGCCTAACCTACAAGAGCTAGTTCCAGGACAGACTCCAAGGGTACAAAGAAACTTTGTCTTGGAGAGAGAGAGAGAGAGAGAGAGAGAGAGAGAGAGAGAGAGAGACAGAGAGAGGGAGAGGGAGACAGAGAGAGAGAGGGGAAGATAGAGACAGAGAGAGAGAGAGAGAGAGAGAGAGAGAGAGAGAGAGAGAAGAAATCATTTGAGGTAGTTAATATTTAGTTGTATGAAATGAAGCTACTTACTACCAGAGTTCTGACTGGGAACAGGTCAGGTAATGCCACAGTGCCTAGCAGCATTCTTGTGGAGACTCTCTTGCATTCCTATAGTCTAACAGTTATCTGAACTTCCTTTCTCCTGAACATCCCTTCAGAAAAGGCAGCCCAAAATTTGAAAGTGTGGGGGGCCAGCCATGATAAGCTAAGTATGGACAGGTCACCCAAAGGAAATTCGTTATTTTCAACCATTATCACCTGCCAGAGTAGAACTCTGGCTCTCGATAAATTTAATAAGAGGCCTGAGTCTCAGTAGTTTACCCTGAAGCAAGAAAGAACCACAAGCTGAGATAACCCGACCCCCACCCAAGAGCAGACCATTCAAAGGAAATGCCTGGCATTCCAAGTGCTTTCGATAGGAGCACCTGACAGCGCACAGTCACCAGGACACCCCTAGACTAATGTCAGCCAGTCAGGGGTCCTGAACCTCAGAGACCCCTCACCCCCACCTTTACTACTATAAAAACCCAATTCTAATTGAGCTCGAGGCTCTCCAGTTATTCCAATATGCTGGACATGCAGAGAGACCGAGTTTGCAAACTTGATTAAAATAAAGGCTCTTTGCTTTTACAAATGGGACTCAGGCCGGGCGGTGGTGGCGCACGCCTTTAATCTCAGCACTTGGGAGGCAGGGGCAGGCGGATCTCTGTGAGTTCGAGGCTAGCCTGGTCTACAGAGCGAGTGCCAGGACAGGCTCCAAAGCTACAGAGAAACCCTGTCTCGAAAAAAAAAAAAAAAAAAAAAACCAACCAAACAAAAAAAACAAATGGGACTCAGTTTCCTTGTTGGCCTTGAGGGGACTTTGTGGATTTGGGCATAACAAAAGTGTGTTGTATGTGAAGAAATAATACTGTCTTGAATGAGAAAGCAGACCCTCATGATCCTTGGAGAAAGCTGGGAGGAAGGTAGTAGATCACAGTAAGATGTTGGGTTTTAAGGTTTCAGGCTTGGTTCAGGCTGCTGAAAGCACCAGGGGAATGGTTTCTGGAACGAATAGGAAGAAAGTCCCAGGTAGAACCAAAGGACCAAACTGAAGGCTAAACTGGAGCAACTGTTAACTTGTCTCAGCTTTGCAATCACACTTTTCTTTCTTTTAAACAATTTTATGTGTAATGTAGGCGCTTGTAAAGACTGTGTGTACCACATGAGTGTCTGGTGGCCAGAAAGGCCATCAGAGCTCGTCAGATGCTCTAGAACGGGAGTTACAGGTTGTGAGCGTCCAGGTGGGGCTTGGACTCCAACCATAGTGCCCTGGAATGGCAGCCAATGCTAACCGCTGAGCCAGGTCTCCAACCCAAGCACGTTTTTCTTGGGAGAATTCCAGACTCTAGGTCAGTGGCTCTCAACCTTTCTAATGTTGTGATCCTTTTATACAGTTCCTTGTGTTGTGATGACCCCAATCTAAAATTATTTTCGATGCTACTTCATAACTCTTAATTTTGCTACTGTTATGAATCGTAAATATCTGTTTTCCAACAATCTTAGGCGGCTCCAGTGAAAAGATAGATCGACCTCTAAGTGGGAGGGGGTCTCAATTCACAAGTTGAGAACCGCTGCTCTAGGGTCTTGGGTTCAAGTGGACCCTCTTCCTTACCTTACCCACAGAGCTCTGATCAGCAACATTTCATTTGTGACGAATTTGACCGTCTCCCAGATGAACTGCAACTTGCCCTGAGAGCGGATCCTAGGCTTTTACTATGGTCAGTATCTGGTCAAAGCAAGTCCCCTAAGACCTGTTTCCTCACGAATAGAACGGAAGAAAAAAAAAATCACACCCGTTTTGTATAACTTTGGTGTACGTGCCAGCTAAGAAAGGTGTGCTCTCAGCTTGTCAACAACAGCTGGGACACCAGCCCACCTAAACATCTCCCAACGCACCGCCAGGGGTCGGCGAGTGAACCTCTAGAGCACAGAGTTCAGTTCCTAGAGAAGCCGCTGGCGTCACTTCCGCTCACGGTCTAAAACTGCGCCTGCGCACTGCGCCTCTTCCTCTCCGTGCTTGGCTTAGGTTCCGGCGACATGGTGAGTGTCTGCGTTACTGGTTTGGAAGTCGCTATCCATCTGCATCTGCCGTTCTCTCTGGTTTTCCGCGCTCACCCGCCTGGGGCAGCCTCTGCTGTCCTCTGTGCCGTCGGCTGTCGGGGTCCTCGCCGCGTCCGGAGCCTCGGAGGCCGCGACTGGAGCCCCGGAGGTCGTGCGGCGGGGCTCGGCCCAGCTCGGCGGTGAATGCGCGGCGCGCTGCGGAGCCCTGCTCGCCCCGTGCACGCTGCTCTTGCGGGTTGAATTTGGGGAAAACTCGGCCCTAGCAGGATCTGCGCGCAGCGGTGTGTGCGTGCACGGACTTCTTTCCCATCGCTACGTGTCGCTGTCATTTCCTCTGCCCACAGGCTAAACGCACCAAGAAGGTCGGGATCGTCGGGAAATACGGGACCCGCTATGGTGCCTCCCTCCGGAAAATGGTGAAGAAAATTGAAATCAGCCAGCACGCCAAGTACACGTGCTCCTTCTGTGGCAAGGTACGTTGGCCTCGTGAGGGGAGGATTGCTTGTCACCCAAGGTGGTTGTAAGCGGTGGGCCGGTATAAGATAGAGGGTTTGGGGTTAGTTTTTGCGAAGCATTCTTCGTTTATGTGGAATAACCGAGTGAATGAAGGATAATTGGTTCTGGAGAGGGAAAAGGCGCAAACCTGAACGACTCGGTGGAAAATGACTGTTAATACATCTATACTATGCCATCTATCTAGTCTGCATCTAATGTCCTGCTTGGATTTTTAGGATTTGACTGCTTACCAGACAAGTTGTCTTTTTTTTGCTTACGTAGTTTAAGCTCTGAAAACTTTAGAGATTTATGTTTTCACATATTTCATATCGAGACCTTTTAAATATTTGCAGACCAAGATGAAGAGACGAGCCGTTGGCATCTGGCACTGTGGCTCCTGCATGAAGACAGTGGCTGGTGGGGCCTGGACCTACAAGTGAGTGTGTTTCTTTGTGCTGTAGGAAAGTGTGGACCACACAGCCCATGCTCCAGGTCTGGCACATACTGGACTAGTTTTAATATTTATGAATGGGGAATAAATATGATTTAGGGCTCCTTTCGGTTAAAGTTGGAAAGCTCTTAGAAGTGAAAGTTGGCATTTGATTCGTGTATTGCTTTGAATTGTACAGTCTCTCTGTGGGTCCGTTATTGATATCCTTGTTTGCCCAACCTTGACTGCCAAGTTATTTCTTTTTTTTGAAAATATTTATTATGTATACAATATTGTATCTGTGTGTATGTCTGCAGGCCAGAAGAGGGCACCAGACCTCATTACAGATGGTTGTGAGGCATCATGTGATTGCTGGGAATTGAACTCAGGACCTTTGGAAGAGCAGGCAATGCTCTTAACCTCTGAGCCATCTCTCCAGCCCCTGACAAGTTATTTCTATAAAATAGTTTCGGAATGAGATTAGTTGGTTTGGGATTGCATAGGAAAATTTGAGGCTGTTTGGGCTGTCACACCTTTATCAACAAGCTTTGAACACACTTTAGTGGTCTGGCCCTGACAGGGCTGGGTGGTGCTGCAGAGGGAGGTGAAGCCTCCTGTCATTTGCTTGTCCTAGTCTTAGCTCTGCTGGCCCCGAGGTCCCTAGAGTCTGGGTAGTGTGATGTGTGGCTAACGCTGAGAGGTATGGCAAAGGAAGCAAGAGTAGAACAGAATAGAATCTGCTCCAGCTGCTTGACTTGAGAGTGTCTTGAAACTTGCCGTCTGCCTTTGCTATACTATCTTCAAAGGAAAGTACCTTAAGGTATTTCTAAGAAGTCAAGTGTAGAAGGTCGTTAGGATTCTGTAGGTGCCTGAAGTTGTGGTTTTTAAGGTTTGCCGTCAATGCCAGTGTGACTTCTGAGCACTAGTCCTTAGGTCTTGGGAGTCACTACAACATGGTATTGGTATAATTCTTTCCAGGAGAAAGTCAGACTTGTGTTTCATGTGTTAGCCTGCGTAATTGAGTTGGAACCTTTTCTTTACAGCACGACTTCTGCCGTCACAGTGAAGTCTGCCATCAGAAGACTGAAGGAACTGAAAGACCAGTGAAAGTGCTACCATTTGATACCCAAGCCTACTGCAATAGTGCACAGCCAACTAAATAAATGGGTTAATTTACGTAACAGTTTTTGCCTTGTTTGTGGCTAATTATTTTGGCATATGATACATTTTTTTTCCCCCATTTGAAAAGAGATTTTTGCTGTTTGGAGGCATTCTTTGTGACCCTGGCTGGTCCTCCTAGGTGCAAGTGTTTGCTGTCACACCTGGCTCAGGATGTTGCTGACGTTGTAAACCTACTGAACAATTTTGTTTGGGTGTTTGACTACACGTTGTCAGCAAACTGAAACAACTAGAATTTAGTAAAGGTTTTATTTTTGCACAAGGTTCATAAGATTGACTTGAATGTAATATAGATAGAAGAAACATGATAATAGATAAGTAACAAAAATGATTATTCTCTGACAAATTTAGGGTTTAATCTACTTAGGATTGGTTTTATGGTTAGCTTTGAGGGGAGGTTGGGTTGTCCTATTCCCCACCAAAGACAGAATTTCTCTGTAGCTTGGACCCTGCCCTGGAATTTGCCCTTTAGACCAGGCTGGTCAAAAGTCACAGAGATCCGCCTGCCTCTGCCTACCGAGTGCTGGGATAAAGGCGTGCGCCACCACTGCCAGATTTACCCGTTGTGCTTTTATCAGCCATGTCTAAACTCCAGACTCCTTGGGGGCCTCTAAACTGCTTTTTAAAGTTGCTGGAGGCAGTTTTCCGTAAGGTGAAGACTGAACCTTTTCTGGGCTCACTGCTGTGGTCTGTAGCATGCATTTTCTCTCCGGGTATTCTTTTCTGGGCTCACTGCTGTGGTCTGTAGCATGCATTTTCTCTCCGGGTATTCTTTTCTGGGCTCACTGCTGTGGTCTGTAGCATGCATTTTCTCTCCGGGTATTCTTTTCTGGGCTCACTGCTGTGGTCTGTAGCATGCATTTTCTCTCCGGGTATTCTTTTCTGGGCTCACTGCTGTGGTCTGTAGCATGCATTTTCTCTCCGGGTATTCTTTTCTGGGCTCACTGCTGTGGTCTGTAGCATGCATTTTCTCTCCGGGTATTCTTACTCTAGGCATCAGTTCTCAAATTGTGGGCTGCAACCCCTTTTGGTTTGCAGATCAGATCCTTATATGCAGTTACGAAGTAGCGACAAAATTTTATGATTGGGTAGCATCAGGAAGGTTGAGAACCACTGGTCCAAGGTTATGCAGTCTCCTGCTGCCTCAGCAGTTCGCAGGAGGGCTCAGCTGTTTCTAGACCTATCACAGTAACAGCTTCAATTTCAAGTTATTCCGCTCACCGGTGTATCCCCAGGTAGCATAACTACTTCTGCATAAATAACGAGCACGTTTTGCATTGAGCCTAAGCAGTTCAACTTTGACACATTCTCATTACCTGGATATATGTATATGTCATTTGTGCCTGAGAAATTGTTTTTAGGACTTTCTAGGCATGTGTATCTGTCACCACTGTGTGCTGGTTCCTGAAGAGGACATCAAATCCCCTGGAATTGGAGGTGGTCGCTGGGAACCAAACCTGGATCCTTTGGAAGAAGACTCAGTGGTCCTAACTGCAGGGCCATTTTTTCCAGCCCCCAAGAAATCTATGTAACTTGTAAGTGAGGAAGCTGGCTTTGGATTTGGGTCTTGGCCCCAGAGCAGGATTCTTATTTTATATTGCTTTTGTGACAGCTGAGTAGATGGACAACTGCTAGTGACACCAGGTAGGTTGAAGCAGTGTTTGGTAACTAAGGAAATAGAAGCCACAAGTAAATAGGTGGTAGAGATAAGTTAGGTTATAGCTTTTTAAATTATATTAGCTTGCCTTTTACCCTGCCTCTTTTTGTGTTGAGGATTTCCATTTTACGTTTTACTAATTGTAATCACGAGGTTTTCTGAGCCTTTGGTGCTGTGCAAAGTCATTTGAGGATTACATCCTTTTGAAAAGATTTATTTTGAATATAGTGTTCTGCATGCATGCCTGCCAGAAGAGGACACCAGATCTCAACTACAGATGGGGGTGAGCCATCATGTGGGTGGTTGCTGGGTGGTTCCAGGATCTCTGGAAGAGCAATCAGTGCTCTTAACCTCTGAGCCATCTCTCCAACCTGAGCATTAGATCCTTAAAAATGAGCAGGGCATGTATTTAGACCAGAGCATTCCACTTGTTTTTTTTTTTTCCTTGAGATGGTTTCTCTGTAACAGACCTGGCTGTCCTGGAAATCACTTTCTAGACCAGGCTGGCCTTGAACTCAGAGATCTGCCTGACTTTGCCTTCTGATGGCTGGGATTAAAGTCTTGTGCCAGCACTGCCCAGCTTGCCAGGGAAATGTTTATGTGGGTCTAGGTATGAAACATTTATGGATAATTGTAATTTTACCATTTACAAAGAGCAGAAGCAAATGAGATGTTTGTTTTCATGTAAAGAATTAAATCTTAGGTTAAATGAGACAGTTCAGTGGGTAGAAGCTCTTACTGTCAAACCTGAGACACCCACATGGTAGGATAGAGAATTGACCTCTCCTAGAAAGTTATACTTGTGTACATGCCTGTTCGCATGAATGTGTGACTAAGTGTACAGTCTTGGCTAGATATTTGGTATATCCATGTAGATGTAGAGCAACTCTCAGAAGTGTCTCACCCCCAGGGTTTCTTTGTAGCGTTGGGGCCTGTCCTGGAACTAGCTCTGTAGACCAGGCTGGCCTCGAACTCACAGAGATCTGCCTGCCTCTGCCTCCTGAGTGCTGTGATTAAAGGTGTGCGCCAACATAGGGATCTGGAGTTATTTGAAGTATTTGAAAAGATGCTTGCTTGCTACTTACCCCTCATATAATACATCCAAAGTGGCATGGAAATACTTCGCTGACCTATAGACTTATGAAACCATATGACTAGTAATAGTAGCATTCCACTCTGGACATACCATGTGAAATTGGACCAGGGACCTTTTGTGAGGTCATTCATTGGACTACAAGCTTAGACACCATCTGATAGCCTCTAAAAATGACAGTTAAAGCACAAAACCAAGAAAGTATGTCTCATTGAGTTGTATGGAGTCTTGAAACTGCAAAAACTACCATGGCATGCTTAGATTTCTATGGAATATATGCTTTTTTGCCTATTTCTCCCTTCGACTTTTCATTTAGGGAGTTCTTTGACGTTAATGGAAGAGAAAAGCACTCTGTAATCCATGCACTGTTGGCATCAGCTGAAAGTGGGTGGAGATAGCTCGGAAAGAGGAGAAACGGCCTTCCAGCGGGCTGGGGCAGGAGTTCAGCTCATGTCCACTGCATGTAGATAGGCCTCGAAGTAGAGATGTGTGTTGACTCAGTGGCTGCTGAGAACGGAAGACTGGATTTAGGAAGGAAGACAAGGCTGTGGAAAGCATGTAGGCATGCTATTAGTAGAGAAAGGAAAATATCTGTATCCCATGTGATGCCCAACAGTGAGCTGCTGCAAGGCCATTGCTCCCATTAAAGGACTGTTCTGAGAATGTCAACTGTTGTACTTAGGGCCCAGGAATAAAACAATCAGCATAAGGTAGCGCATGTGTGTGAGCCTCCAGAGTGGCAGTCAGCTGCTCTCAACGTGTCTGGGTGTATCATCTGGCCAAGTGATTGCACTGTGTGCATTAGTAAGCGAAACAGTATGCCATCTTATTGGTGGACGTGTAGGCGGGTGTGTAATTGTGTCAGTGTTTAAGTGGTTGGTTAGCATGTACAAGGCCCACGGTTCATTCCTTAGCGATGACCCCTTCTCCAAAATATGCTGTGTTTGATCTGTGTTGCAGTATGGATTTGCCATTTGTTTGTTTTTAAGATAGGGTTGTCCTGTATACCAGGCAGGGATCACAGATTTGCACCACCACTGCCCAGCTTGGATTTGCCTTTCTTAATTGCATTATGTCTACTGAAGGGGCTTATCTCTGTGATAGTATACAGTGTCTAAAATGGAGGAATTGCAATGGGCTCACACTCATGAGGGTGGGGGGCAGGGATTGCCTTTACTGTGTGTCCCCTATCTATCCAGATAACTTGTTTGAGAGATTTACTGGTTTTCTGGAGGTTCCATGATAGCACCAGCTGGGACTAGATCACTGCGTTTAAGATACTGTTCTACAAGATACAGTAAGTATCTTAAAAATCTGCTAGCATATGGTGCTGTCTACCCACAAACCAGGACACGTGAGAAAACAAATGATGGAGGTGGGACCCACCCCACGGAGAATTACACCAACTGACGCATGACGGCATTTTTGTTTCCCCGGCTTAGAACCTAGCCCCTAAGGAAGTGATGCATTTCTTCTACTTTAGCTCTATTTAAATTGAAATATTGAGTCTGATTATTTTGGGCTCATTGTACCATCAAACTAACAGCAGAAAAGGCGATCTTTCTAGAGGTACCACCTTTTGTAGTCTTTTGTGTGTTTTAGATTTGTTGTTCCTTTGTCTTCTGGCTTCTCAGTAGGTCCAGCTGTTGGGAGGTGAAAGCAGAAGATGTAGCAGAGAATATTTGCTTCCCTGCTCCTCCTGAGCTGCTCTAAGGAGACTCCCGCACTAAGGGTGTCTTGTGTATCAGTAGTCACTCCTGACTGAGCATTTGCCTGCAGGGATGATGACTGTATGTTGTGGGGTCTTGTGGTTTTGGTTTTTTTGTTGTTTTTGGTTTTTTGAGACAGGGTTTCTCTGTGTAACAGTTTTGGCTGTCTTGGAACTTGCTTTGTAGACCAGGCTGGCCTCAAACTCACTGAGATCCGCATGCCTCTGCCTCTCAAGTACTGGGATTAAAAATATGTACCACTACACATTGTGATTCTTTTTTAATTATGTGGGGTATGTGCGCATGGATGCAGGTGCCCAAGGAGATCAGAGGTGGGAGATCCCCCTGGAGCTGGGGTTGCGGGCACTTGTAAGCCACCTGATGTGGGTGCTGGAAATTGAACTCAGGTCTTCAGGAAGAGCAGTATATGCTCTTGAACACTGAGCCACCCAATCCCCTAAATGACAGTTTTTGTAGTTAAGATTTTAACAACACCCACATGGCAGCTCACAGCTAAGTGACACAGGAGCTGTGAAGATGGGCAT